GTTCATGTCTTATAGAACTATATTATAAAATGTTCTGTTTTAGTAACTTCAAGGATAAATTCAAAGATCTAGTCTGTAAAAAGTTTGGTTTGGTTGTTTGTTTGGTGCTTTATGGTGACCATTACCAATGACACTGTCCAACGTCAGGGGTAAACTCATAGAAAATTTGTGTTTAAAATAGTGCATGACAGTAAAATGTGGACTATTGTGACTTGAGTGTCACAATGACTACACATTAGTGGGTCAATACCGGATAAAAGAAAATGATGGGTTAAAAACTGTGACCAATGCATAGCCTTGCCAGGACAACTTCCTCCTTCTCATCCTTACGGAAGCAAGACAGCCAAAGACCAACAGAAGGTTTGATCTGAAAAAGCTTGTTATGACGTTGCTTACCCCAAGTTGACTGCCAACTGGCATGAAGCCATGCCTTGAAGACAAGACCGTAGTCCATGTACGTGACAGGTACGGCCGTGACGGCACCAGAGCAGACGGACTTAGCTGTGTCAGTGAGCTCGTTCCTGTGAATACCGATGTGGCCAGGTATCCATAAAAACTGGATGGAAGCAGAAGATAAAGAAAATTGGGCCAGTCGTTGTTGAATATCGACGAGAACAGGGTGAGAAATAACGTTAAGCGATTCCAGGGCCAGTAGAGAGATAAGAGAATCAGTGTAAATAGTACAATTACTGTACTGCATAGCTTCTACATGATCCAGGGCAAGAGAAATACTATACAACTTGGCAGTGAACACAGAAACTGTAGAGGGGATCCTGCGAGCAACTACCGAGCCCCAGCACACCATGGCAGAACCTACAGAGTCACCTGATTTCGAACCATCTGTGTAAATAGGAAGAGAAGAATGGTTAAAAAGATGTTCAGCAAAAAAGAAGATGGTACTTCCAATCGGGAGTATCTGCCTTCCTCAGATGACTCAAGGAAAGGTCACAGGAAGGGATGGTAATAACCCGTGGTGGAATGGGCTGATCATTGAGGACAGCAATGTCATCCAATGCCAGACCCAATTCAGCCAGTTGTGCCTGGATACGAAGGCCAATGGGAAGAATAGCAGACCATTTGTTCTGAAAGAGCATTGCCCACCGAGGAAGAAAGCCAAAATCCCAGGTGGGATGCCATGGTAGGGATTGAAGCTGTAAAGAAAGTTGCAAATGACGGAGGTGAAGAGGAGGTTCGTGGGACTTAGTGTACAAACTCTGGACTGGAGAAGTGCGAAAAGCCCTGGTGCAGAACCGAAGCCCCAGATGGTAAATGGGGTCCAGCATCTTCACGGCCGAGGTCCTGGCAGAACCACAGACCCATAGTCCTGTTTGGATCGAATCAGGGCATGATAAATCCTGAGCATAGAACATCGATCCGTTCCCCAAGAGCTGGAAAAAGAGGACATGGAGGATGTTCAGAGCCCTTGCACACTTGACACTTAGCTGCCTGATGTGTGGAATGAAGCTAAGCTTACAGTAAGAACTTTGCCTCAGGGACCACATGAATAACTATATTGCCGAGACAGAGCTCGGGATCGGGGTGGAGACCCCATTGGGGGCAAAAATGCATGTAAACGGTTTTGGAAAAAGAAAATTTAAAACCGTTTGCAGTGGTCCATGTCAACAACCGATTGAGGGCAGTCTCAAACTGCCGCTCAATAAACCTCCATGTTTGACGACTGACATGAGATGTGGAAGTCGTCGACATAGAGCCCATTTACAACAGTCGGAGGAAGATTATTAGTGATGGCATTAATTTTAACACTAAAAAGTGTGACACTCAAGACACAGCCCTGAGGGACTCCAAGTTCCTGTGGAAAGGAACGGGAAAGAGTTGAACCCACACGGACTTGAAATCACCTGTTCAGTAAAAAGTTTTGAATAAAAATGGGTAAATGGCCACGCAACCCATAGGAGTGGAGGTCTTGCAAAATTCCATACCTCCACATAGTGTCATAAGCTTTCGAGATCGAAGAACACAGAAACATTTCAAGTCGAATCAGATGGTCCATGGTGGAACGCTGATGACGGAACCCACACTGGGTGGGAGAGAGGAGCGTGTTTGATTCCAGCAACCAAACAAGACGAGCATTAACCATCCTCTCTAGGACCTTACAAAGACAACTAGTCAA